TCACATCTGTTTCGTGCACATATAATTAGACAGGAGTTGGCATTGCCGATTAGAAAGCCAACTGTTTAGAAAGTGCCGAGTGAACGTTTGGTAACATTATTAGTAGTATATTTTGAATGGGAGTCATGTATCTCAAATGTTTGTCGATTCGTTATTGTACCTTTCTTGTTTGTATGGTTCATATATTCATTCAGTTATTCCATCCTGTTAGCAGTGATTTACCAAATAAGTCAAACTGAGTTATTGAAACATAGTACTTATTTATGTTTAATAAAAAACCATACTGTCCACCACTGACCCTCGCATTGCAGAAAGTGACAACAAGATTTGTGGGTCATTTGCGTTTATGTGTAGCTTCACTACTGTGATCAGTTTTCACACGAACCATGACCGTTTCAAAAGTCATGATGTATTGACGCTAGACATAGAAGTTGAGGCCGTCGCAAATATATGCAAATTTATTTTCGACATCTAATATTAACAGAAATATTCGAATTAATATCAAAAACATTGTAACAATATCATATCATAGCGAAATATGTCACACAGGGCAATATGCCAAATAGCGAAATATGACACGTGAAGGAATATGCTAAATAACAAAATATAACACGTGAAGAAATATGTCAAATAGTGAAATATAACACATGAAGGAATATGTCAAAGAGTGAGATATAACACATGAAGGATATTTGTCAAATAGTGAAATATAACACATGAAGGAATATGTCAAATAGTGAAATATAACACATGAAGGAATATGTTAAATAATGAAATATAACACATGAAGGAATATGTCAACTAGTGAAAAATAACATATGAAGGAATATGTGAAATAGTGAAATATAACATGAAGGAATATGTTAAATAGCAAAATATAACATGAAGGAATATGTTAAATAGTGAAATATAACACATGAAGGAATATGTCAAATAGCGAAAAATAACACATGAAAGAATATGTCAAATAGTGAAATATAACAAATGAAGGAATATGTCAAATAGTGAAATATAACACATGGAGGATATATGTCAAATAGTGAAATATAACACATGGAGGATATATGTCAAATAGTGAAATATAACACATGGAGGATATATGTCAAATAGTGAAATATAACACATGAAGGAATGTGTCAAAGAGTGAAATATAACACATGAAGGAATATGTTAAATAGTGAAATATGACACATGAAGAAATATGTCAAATAGTGAAATATAACACATAGAGGAATATGTCAAAGAGTGAAATATAACACATGGAGGATATATGTCAAATAGTGAAATATAACACATGAAGGAACATGTCAAATAGTGAAATATAACACATGGAGGATATATGTCAAATAGTGAAATATA